AACCTGTATCACAGTGTGTTCCTACCTCAGTATGTTAAACCTGTATCACAGTGTGTTCCTACCTCAGTATATTAAACCTGTATCACAGTGTGTTCCTACCTCAGTATGTTACACCTGTATTACAGTGTGTTCCGACCTCAGTATGTTAAACCTGTATCACAGTGTGTTCTTACCTCAGTACGTTTAACCTGTATCACAGTGTGTTCCTACCTCAGTATGTTAAACCTGTATCACTGTGTGTTCCTACCTCAGTATATTAAACCTGTATCCCTACCTCAGTATGTTACACCTGTTATCATAGTGTGTTCCTACCTCAGTATGTTACACCTGTATTACAGTGTGTTCCTACCTCAGTATGCTACACCTGTTATCATAGTGTGTTCCTACCTAAGTATGTTACACTTGTATCACAGTATGTTCCTACCTCAGTATGTTACACCTGTATTACAGTATGTTCCTACCTCAGTATATTAAACCTGTATCACACAGTGTGTTCCTACATCAGTATGCTACACCTGTTATCATATTGTGTTCCTCCCTAAGTATGTTACACCTGCATGCCAGTATGTTCCTACCTCAGTACGTTAAACCTGTATCACAGTGTGTTCCTTCCTCAGTATGTTAAACATGTTATCATAGTGTGTTCCTACCTCAGTATGTTACACCTGTATCACAATTTGTTCCTACCTAAGTACGTTAAACCTGTTTCACAGTTTGTTCCTACCTCAGTATGTTAAACCTGTATCAAAGTGTGTTCCGTCCTCAGTATGTCAAACCTGTATCACAATGTGTTTCTACCTCAGTATGTTACACCTGTTTCACAGTATATTTCTACCTCAATATCCTACACCTGTACTACAGTGTGTTCCTACCTCAGTATGTTACACCTGTATCACAGTGTGTTCCTACCTCAGTATATTAAACCTGTTATCACAGTGTGTTCCTACCTCAGTATGTTAAACCTGTAGTGTGTTCCTACCTCAGTATGTTAAACCTGTATCACAATGTGTTCCTACCTCAGTATGTTAAACCTGTATCACAGTGTGTTCCTTCCTCAGTATGTTACACCTGTGTTACAGTGTGTTCCTACCTCATTATGTTACACCTGTATCACAGTATGTTAATACCTCAGTATGTTACACCTGTATTACAGTGTGTTCCTACCTCAGTATGGTACACCTATATCACAGTGTGTTCTTACCTCAGTATGTTAAACCTGTTATCATAGTGTGTTCCTACTTCAGTATGTTAAACCTGTATCACAGTGTGTTCCCACCTCAGTATGGTAAACATGTATCACAGTGTGTTCCTACCTCATTATCTTTCACCTTTTTCACAGTGTGTTCCTACCTCAGTATGTTACACCTGTTATCACAGTGTGTTCCTACCTCAGTATGTTACACCTGTATCACAGTGTGATCCTACCTCAGTATTCTATACCTGTATCACAGTGTATTCCCACCTTAGTATGTTAAACCTGTATCTCAGTGTGTTCCTACCTCAGCATGTTACACCTGTATCACAATGTGTTCCTACCTCAGTATGTTACACCTGTATCACATTGTGTTCCTGCCTTAGTATGTTAAACCTGTATCACAGTATGTTCCTACCTCAGTATGTTACACCTGTATCACAATGTGTTCCTACCTCAGAATGTTACACCTGTATCACATTGTGTTCCTGCCTTAGTATGTTAAACCTGTATCGCAGTGTGTTCCTACCTCAGTATGTTACACCTCCTGTATCACAGTGTGTTCCTACCTCAGTTTGTTAAACCTGTATCCCAGTGTGTTCCTACCTCAGTATGTTAAACCTGTATCACAGTGTGTTTCTACCTTAGTATGTTACACCTATATCTCAGTTTGTACCTTCCTCAGTATGTTAGCCTTGTCATCACACTGTACTACTTTTACACGCTTACAATTGTTCCTACCTCAGTATGTTACACCTGTATCACCCTGTATTACAGTGTGTTCCTACCTCAGTATGTTAAACCTGTGTATCACAATGTGTTCGTACCTTATTATGTTAAACCTGTATCACAGTGTGTTCTAACCTCAGTACGTTAAACCTGTATCACAGTGTGTTCCTGCCTCAGTATGTTAAACCTGTATCACAGTGTGTTTCTACCTTAGTATGTTACACCTATATCTCAGTTTGTACCTTCCTCAGTATGTTAGCCTTGTCATCACACTGTACTACTTTTACACGCTTACAATTGTTCCTACCTCAGTATGTTACACCTGTATCCCAATGTGTTCCTACCTCAGTATGTTACCCCTGTATCACAATGTGTTCCTACCTCAGTATGTTAAACCTGTGTATCCCAATGTGTTCCTACCTTATTATGTTAAACCTGTATCACAGTGTGTTCCTACCTCAGTATGTTAAACCTGTATCACAGTGTGTTCCTACCTTAGTATGTTACACCTATATCTCAGTTTGTACCTTCCTCAGTATGTTAGCCTTGTCATCACACTGTACTACTTTTACACGCTTACAATTGTTTTGTGTTTGGTGTAGTCTTTCTGGACGTCGCAGTGGACAGAGTCTAAAGTCATTGATGGAAAGGTGGACACCTTTAGCTTACTCTTGAGCTACACATCATGGCATGGAACGGTTAGCCATCCTTGCAGCCATGACCACGCAATGCTGTCTAGCAAGTACGTCATAATGCCTTATTACTGACCTATTCATGTATAAATTATATGCGTATGATGAACTGTAATTAATTTAGTTAATGCATAATGAAATATACAGTTAAATGATGCATCGCTTCCGGTTCTTGGTTTGATTGCGACGACACCAGCATTGATGCTGCCTGAACCGAAACAATATCACCATAAGTGCGTCGTGAGAACAAAAAAGTAAGTATGTTTTTTTCCCCGGTATCATCAATGTTTCATCTTGTGATAGTCAGCTCATATTAATGTTTCTGTTGAAATTTCAGTATAAATAGATGACAAAATGTCAATACCATGTTATGACCCTTAAGTAAATAATTTTATCTCTAATTATAAATTAACGTTAGAAGATATTTACTATAGCAAATACAATCTGATCACAAAATTGCATTATATAGGAAGATGAAAATAGAGATTTTCATTTTAAAACTCAAGACAAGGCTCTGTATGACTAAAAACATTATTTAGATGATCCTGTTGAAAGCATACTAGAGGACAAATAAAGGGGCCGCGGTAGCCAAGTCCTTAAGGCGTCTGTCATTCTGCTACCCCTAGCCCTCCACCACTGGGTCGCGGGTTCGAGACCTATGTGGGGCAGTCGCCAGGTACCGGCCGTTTGTCGGTGGTTTTTCTCCGTGAACTCCGGCTTTCCCCCACCACAAAATCTGGCACGTCCTGAAATGACCACAGCTGTTAATAGGACGTAGTACACAAACACACAAAGGAGAGGACAAATAAACAAATCAAAATCCCCAATAACTACATGACAAACACTGGTTTACTCTGATTATAGATATAAAACCAGTCAAAATAAAAGGCCTTAATGTTTATTTTATATCTGTTCTGGCCCGGTATTTTGTACACTGAATATGATACTTTCTAAGACCCAAAAGTCTTTTAACAAGTGAAAGTCAGACATTAATATGGTGTTTTGATTTCAGCTAATTTTTGTATCAGCTAATTAGTAATGACGCCACAGATATATCATTAATCGACAACCAATTGCATATATAAGTAGAATTAATATCCAATGTGGGTTGTTGATTATAAAAGTTGGTGAAATAGTTGTAACATTATTGAAAAAATAACGTAAAAAAACCCCGTTATTGTACATCTAGAACACCATAACCAAAGACATATACTGTGACCGGATGGAGTAATATACATGATGTCTTCGCATGTTATTGTAATAAGGTAGCACTACAAATTGGCATCGGATCAGCGTTAAATAGACCGATATACCTGGACCAACACAAAATCAAGTATGGCACAATTTTGGGGAACGTCCTGATATAATCTTACCTGATTAAAATTCGCTAACCCTAATGACTAAAGGAGCCATTTTCAAAAAATAAGCATCCCAAGTTGTCACGTTTTATTAAGCAATGACAACTTTCTTGATAAAATTATTTACTGGAAATGATTGTTTTTTTTTTCAAATAAACAAATCTTAAACAAAGAAAATATTTACATGGATATCCTTAAAAAAAGTACGTGGATAATAAGACCAGGGATTCCAGAAGGGTATGCATAGTATCTTTCTTCGACGATACCAGCCATGCAAATCTAGGTCAAATCCAAGAAATGAAACGTCCACATAGCGAGAGCAGTAACAACAAAACCACAAGACACGGTGATGAGCACAATACATCAATCTTTATATCAAACAAAGAAATGCCATAGTTGTGACATGTAAACACTGTACGTAGGGAAAGCAGGGATGTTGCTATCAAGAAAGTGAAAGTTCACGATCGGAATTCGAAGTCGTCCCGTTTGTGGTACATTTTAGCAGTAAGCCTTCTTTTTTGGTAATGGTGCAAGTAAAGATCAAGGAAAGCATCTGAACAGAAGTCAGGCATGACCCTGCTAGGAGGATTAAACGAGAGATGGGATGAATAAATGTATTTTATTTAAACACAGCACATGGAAGATACATAGGTGTAAATGAAGGTTTTCTCTAATTTTTTTACCAGTCCTGATAAACTCATAAATAGATTAAGCCTCATATGAGAAAAAAAAACTTACCAGAAGATTGGTAAAGTTAGTTCCCATAGAAATGCTTGCAGTCTGCTGGAAAATCTCCCCTGCCAACTCAACAAAATTATTGCCAACCAGGAAATCCATCAGTCTCAAAATTTTATCCTCAGTGAATATCCGTGATTTTTACTTTATTATACCTTTGTCACAGGTATGACTTCACATCAGAGACCAATGGAGTGGTGAGCAGCGCATCGACAGGTAGGTACATGTTTATGTACAGGTATGACGTCATCGGTAAATAACTAAATGGCTACGTAAACATGAGATCCATGCCGGATTATTTCTCTTACCAAGATTAGGTATACTCAAATAATTTCCCTGTTTCAGATATTCCTTTCACCTATATTTCACAAATGTATTCCCGTTTTTGCAAGGGGAAAGAGAAACTAGTTTTTTCTATCTAAGGATTAACAGCTCACATGCGCTATTAGCAACCAGGGCCGCCCAATTTGAGTATTGCACAGTATATTGGATTCAGCAAAGCTTAGCCTCATGCTTAGTCGCAAAAGTATTACCCTCGGGTAGGTTTAAGATATCACTGTCAGCTCAGCTCACCATAATCTCAGTATTGCATATTGACAGAGCCAACAGGATTAGAGAAAACTAAGTGTGTATCGCAGTAAATGATTTTTTTTTATAGTGTAACCGAATTATTTAGATAATGTCGCACATGGATCGAACGATCTATTCTTTATGCACAAAATGAACATACATAGCATGCCTCAAACAACCAATACAATCACTAGAAACACATTGTTTCAAACTTACTCCGTTTTTACTCTAGTTTTTTGATAGCCCGACCTTCTAATGCAATGTGACTAAAATCTCGCCGTCCTACGTCATAACGTTGGGAAATACCTTCGGTAACGCGAGATCTCGTCAAGTCATGTGACATTGCTCATGGCCTAATTATCATTAAAAACATGGGTTGTTATAGAAAACGTTAGAAAATACTTTTTGTAATGATCTTTGAAACATGTTATTGATACCACCTAGTGCATAAAGAATAGATCTTTCGATCCATGTGCGACATGTGTGTGAGAGTGACGATTTGTTCCTAAAATATCAGTTTGAGTTGCGCTCCGGGCGCGGGTCGCATATTTCCCGCATATTTTAGAGGGCCGGAGTTCTGACGTTAATCGACGACAGACCGATATGAAAAAAGTCGATAAAACGTCAGAATAATTCGGACTAGGGACCATAGTTCCGAGAGATGAAATGAGTGTCGATGGTGTGTTAATTAAGAAAAGGGTCATATTTTAATCTTTTTATCATATACCGTATAGCAGGACATTTTCGCGTGGACGATGTTTTCGCGATTTCGTGGGTCAATAACGTGATCGCGAAAATACGATCCTCAGAATCTGTGACAGGCGTAAAATTGAGTCGAAATAATACATTTCACTACCGTAATGTTGTCATGAAATAGTAAGCATATTTACCAAGAGGAAAACAATTAGACGTTTGGAAATCATTTGATAGTTTTGTTGATGGTTTGTTTAATAAAATAAACGTAATTGTTGTTACTCAATATGCTTTATTCAAGCCTATTCATTTGACTATAACGCTTTATAATAATGCGAAAATTTTGTTTCTTCACAAGAGTACTAGTAGTTCGCGAAATTATAATCCGCTTAATGTTCTAATTTTTGGTCAAAATCCTAAAACTTAGTCCGCGTTATACGGTACTACACACTGTGAATATTTAAGTGCAACATCAAAACTACATTTACATTTAAATATAAGAAAGCACACAGATCAGTTATATGTCAATTTTTAATATTATCCATATCCTACTTTAAAACATAAAGCAGTTAACCGTCATAACCGTCAATGCAGATATGGCGGTGCTTGTAAAGTCTTTATTTAGTCACGTTACGTGTTCATTTCAGGTATGGTATGGCAGTCTGCGTTGTGTGCCACTTTCACACAGTCAATTATTGAGGAATCATTTGACTACGACATGTATAAAATCATCGCAAGTCATCTGCTCGGCCACAAGTGAGTGTAACTTATAAGTATACTACTTGTATACAAACGTGACGTCATTATTTTCGACCAGAAATGGCAACTTCTTTATTGTGAAATGTACAAATTGAGAGAATAATCTATAATTCAATATGAGAGATTTTTTTTCTCTCACTGTCATATGTTATTTTCATTGTAATGTTCTTTTTTCTATTTTGTTATTTTATAAATATAATGCAGCCATGTTGAAGTTTTTGCAATGATATTTGCTATGAATATCATAGTTTCATGTCATGTCATGACGTCACGGTTTATTGTGTTGTAGTCTTGGAGCAAACCATGACGGGCACCTGAATCCGTGCCTGGAAAGCGACGATAACGTCATGGCGCCCTTTATTGGTCTAGGTCCTAGTTCAGCGAGGGATAATCAATGGAAATTTTCAAGCTGTTCTGTCACATACTTCGAAGAATACGTCGCAAAACTAAATATGTGAGTCTAACAAAAGTACGAATTACAAAACAACGTTACCCGAATTATCAAGACACTTGTTAAGGGCAATAACACACAGGAGTAGGTGAATTATTGGTCACATGTATTATACAGCATACATATAGATATAGGACATGTTTAAAGTGTAAACACGAACAAGCAATATAAAGATATGATACAATTTCCACGGTACAAACACGAAATAAGGGACACAGTGACACAGCAAACATGAACCCCAAAAATAGGACTAGTATACATTGTATATATTTACATTTGCATGGCATTGTCACTATAAAGCCTCTTTGAAAGCTGTGTCGTTGATATGACTTTAATTACCATGCAGCACGAGACACGATTCTTAGCGTATTGATACATCACTGACCGGAACTACAATATCCAATGTAAGTAAACATGACGGCTGCTGAAATATCGCTGGGTATTGTGAGATTTGACAATGTCATTGTACATTTATATGTAAAAGAAAAAAGTAAATAAAAAATACTTTTATTACAACAAAAACAAGACTAAGGTCTGCAATATCGTACAAAATGCAGATCGCTAGCATGCATTATGTTGTTTGCTTGCAAAGTTGTGTCATTCAAATAGATCATAAATACCATACAAAAACAGTTCAATGCTTAAATATTTACAGCCATTATACAAATATCAAAATTAAATATATAAATGCATGTAGCTCTCTTTATCACTCTTAAAACATGTACTAGGACACTCTAACATAGCTTTACACTCTTACCCAGCTGTACTGTGACTTTCTTACACAGGTTTACACTCTTACCTAGGTGTACTGTGACAGTCCTACATAGGTTTACACTCTTACATAGCTGTACTGTGACAGTCCTACATAGGTTTACACTCTTACATAGCTGTGCTGTGACAGTCCTTCATAGGTTTACATTATTACATAGCTGTACTGTGACTTTCTTACACAGGTTTACACTCTTACCTAGGTGTACTGTGACAGTCCTACATAGGTTTACACCCTTACATAGGTGTACTGTGACAGTCCTTCATAGGTTTACATTATTACATAGCTGTACTGTGACAGTCCTACATAGGTTTACACTCTTACATAGCTGTGCTGTGACAGTCCTACATAGGTTTACACTCTTACATACCTGTACTGTGACAGTCTTACATAGGTTTACACCCTTACATAGGTGTACTGTGACAGTCTTACATTGGTTTACACTCTTACATAGCTGTGCTGTGACATTCTTACACAGGTTAACAATCTTACATAGCCATACTGTGACAGTCCTACATAGGTTTACACCATAACATAGCTGTACTATGACAATCTGACATAGGTTTGCACTCTTACATAATTGTACTGTGACAGACTTACATATGTTTACACTCTTACATAGCTGTGCTGTGTCATTATAACATAGGTTTACACTCATACATAGCTGTGCTGTGACAGTCTTACACAGGTTTACAATCTTACATAGCTGTGATGTGACAGTCTTACATAGGTTTACCCTCTTACATAACTGTGCTGTGTCACTATAACATAGGTTTACACTCTTACATAGCTGTACTGTGACAGTCTTACATAGGTTAACACTCTTATATAGCTGTGAGGTGACAGTCTTACATAGGTTTACACTCTCACATAGCTGTATTGGGACAATCTTAAATAGGTTTACACTCAAATAGTTGTACTGTGACAGTCTTACATCTGTTTACACTCTTACATAGCTGTATTGTGACAGTCTTACATAGGTTTACACTCTTACATAGCTGTACTGTGACAGTCTTACATATGTTTACACTTTTACATAGCTGTATTGTGACAGTCTTACATATGTTTACACTCTTACATAGCTGTATTGTGACAGTCTTACATAGGTTTACACTCTTACATAGCTATACTGTGACAGTCTTACATAGGTTTACACTCTCACATAGCTGTACTGTGACAGTCTTAAATAGGTTTACACTCTTACATAGCTGTACTGTGACAGTCTTACACATGTTTACACTCTTACATAGCTGTACTATGACAGTCTTACATAGGTGTACACTTTTACCTAGCTGTAATGGGACAATCTTAAATAGGTTTACACTCTCACATAGCTGTGCTCTGACAGTCTGACATAGGTTTACAATCTTTATAGCTGTGCTGTGACAGTCCTACATAGGTTTACACTCTTACATAACTGTGTTGTGTCACTCCAACATATGTTTACACTCGTACATAGCTGTGCTGTGACAGTCTTACATAGGTTTACACTCTTACATAACTGTGCTGTGACAGTAATACATAGGTTTACAATCTTACATAACTGTACTGTGACAGTCCTACATAGGTTTACACTCTTACACAGCTGTGAGGTGACAGTCTTACATAGGTTTACACTCTCACATAGCTGTATTGGGACAATCTTAAATAGGTTTACACTCACATAGCTGTGCTGTGACAGTCTTACATAGGGTTACACTCTTACCTAGCTATACTGTGACAGTCTTACAAAAGGTTTCCACTCTTACATTGCTTTGCCGTGACAGTCTTACATAGGTTTCCACTCTTAAATAGCTGTACTGTGACAGTCATAAATATGGTTACACTCTTAAATAGCTGTATTGTTACAGTCTTACATAGGTTTACACTCTTGCATAGCTGTACTGTGACAGTCTTACAAAAGGTTTACAGTCTTACATTGCTTTACCGTGAAAGTCTTACATAGGTTTACACTATAACATAGCTGTACTGCAACAGTCTTACATAGGTTTACACTCTTAAATAGCTGTACTGTGACAGTCTTACATAGGGTTGCACTCTTACATAGCTATACTGTGACAGTCTTACATAGGTTTACACTCTTACATAGCTGTACTGTGACAGTCATACATCGGTTTACACTCTTAAATAGCTGTATTGTGACAGTCTTACATAGGTTTACACTATAACATAGCTGTACTGCAACAGTCTTACATAGGTTTACACTCTTAAATAGCTGTACTATGACAGTCTTACATAGGTTTACACTCTTACATAGCTGTGCTGTGACAGTCTTAAATATGTTTACACTCTTACATAGCTGTACTGTGACAGTCTTACACATGTTTACACTCTTACATAGCTGTACTATGACAGTCTTACATAGGTTTACACTTTTACCTAGCTGTATTGGGACAATCTTACATAGGTTTACACTCTCACATAGCTGTGCTGTGACAGTCTTACATAGGGTTACACTCTTACATAGCTATACTGTGACAGTCTTACATAGGTTTACACTCTTACATAGCTGTACTGTGACAGTCTTACATAGGTTTACACTCTTACATAGCTGTACTGTGACATTCTTACATAGGTTTACACTCTTAAATAGCTGTACTGTGAGTCTTACATAAGTTTACACTCTTAAATAGCTGTATTGTGACAGTCTAACATAGATCTATACTCTTAAATACCTGTATTGTGACAGTCATAAATATGGTTACACTCTTAAATAGCTGTATTTTGACAGTCATACATAGGTTTACACTCTTACATAGCTGTACTGTGACAGTCTGAAATAGGTTAACAGTCTTACATAGCTACACTATGACAGCCTTACATAGGTTTACATTCTTAAATAGCTGTACTGTGACAGTCTTACATAGGTTTACAGTCTTAAATAGCTACACTATGACAGCCTTACATAGGTTTACACTCTTAAATAGCTGTATTGTGACAGTCTTACATAGGTTTATACTCTTAAATAGCTGTATTGTGACAGTCATTTATATGTTTGCACTCTTAAATAGCTGTATTGTGACAGTCATACATAGGTTTACACTCTTAAATAGCTGTATTGTGACAGTCTTACATAGGTTTACACTATAACATAGCTGTACTGCAACAGTCTTACATAGGTTTACACTCTTAAATAGCTGTACTATGACAGTCTTACATAGGTTTACACTCTTACATAGCTGTACTGTGACAGTCTTAAATATGTTTACACTCTTACATAGCTGTACTCTGACAGTCTTACACATGTTTACACTCTTACATAGCTGTACTATGACAGTCTTACATAGGTTTACACTCTTACATAGCTGTACTGTGACAGTCATAAATATGGTTACACTCTTAAATAGCTGTATTTTGACAGTCATACATAGGTTTACACTTTTACCTAGCTGTATTGGGACAATCTTACATAGGTTTACACTCTTACATAGCTGTACTGTGACAGTCTTAAATTACTTTTTCGCATAGCCGTAGTATGATATTCTGGCAATGGTGTTTCATTTTAAGGTTTAAACTCTACAAAAGTATTCGACACTTTATAATTTTTAGCCTAACATATTTTCATACACAATATTAAATTGTTAAATGTATGCCATGAAACCACGTTTTGATTTTTAGAGAAAATAATAACTGTCTGTTGACTCTGAGTAACGATCACGACCCGACGGCCTTGTACCCATTTGACCAGGAGATTCCGGGTCAGGTGATTCCAGTTGATCAACAGTGCAAGCGACTGGAAGGAGAAAAATCCTACTTGTGCAGGGTAAGGTTGTGGCTATACTTGTAACACTTTGTGTGATGGGGTTTAAGCGTCGTCTTTATAAAGGGTAAACGCAATCATCCACTAATCCTCGACATCCAATGCTTCCGCTCTAAATGTTCTTTCAATTAACATATTTTCTCTACACCCCTGGAATATAATGATAAAATCGAGGGCTCTTCACGCGATGCTATAATGTTTTAATGTAAAGGAAATGCGATGCAGCGTACCAGTAAAATCGACCTGCTTAGAAGTTGGATGTTGCTCTTGAAAGGGCAGCTATCATGAATATTAAAATCGCGGGCTCTGTATGGGATACAGATGATACAATATAGCTTCTCTGGTGTCTTTGAAGAAAAGAAATTGCGCAGCAACATAACGGTAAAATCGACAAGCTTTGGAGTTGGATGTTGCTCTTGAAAGAACAGGTATTAGCCTACCCGTGGGTCAGAGTTAATACCTTAAACCAAGCAAGTAGCTTGTACCTCGAGCCTTTGATATTGTCATGAATAATCCTAATGTTTCAAAGAAGATACATACACTGTATGTTGAGAGCGGAGCACTTGGATTTCGAGGCTGACGTCGACTAATTTACATAGATTTGAATGTGAATCTTGCACTTTTTTTTTTCAGAAATCTTACAGAGACGATTATTCTGACATGTGCTTTGAGATGTGGTGTGCTATACCTGATAGCACAGGTTGCCGAAATTATACCGCTGCTACCGGAACCACGTGTGGAAATCAGAAGGTAATACATTTATTTATCCCATAACTGACCCATTTTACTTTGGCATACGGCCATGTCATAAATATGGTATCAAACACATGTATTAATCCTATAGGTGCTGTGATTTGTTAAACCCATGGGAACATATTCCTACGCAACTACCGGTACTACTTTTATTAAGTTTGCCACATGATATAGTTACTGTTATTTAAATGAATTTAAAATGCTTTTGTCATGATTTCACGCTGCATTCAAAACGATTCATTATTGAAATAAACAAAATGAAACTACTTTGTACTGCGCGGAACGACAATGACTATGATCGGAGTACTTTGGTGTTTGACCGATATAGAATCAGCTGATAACACATATATAGGATCTTATATCAGTTTCCATTTCATATTAGATTTAAGAAACGAGCCTCTGGCAAGCTTAAATGAAAAAATCGTGACGAGTTTCATAAATTTCATATAAAATGAAAACGAGTTTAAGACCCTTTTATCACAAAATCAAGATTTATGGCATTTATTCGTGGAGAACGACAATTTTCATGCAACTTTGAAATGTAAAAAGCCGCAGTTTTAACTCCAGTGCATACGTCTGTGACGTCATGCACTGGTTCTAGGCTTGGAGTCACAATTGAAACAATCGAAACTTACAACCAAGCACAGGACTGATAGATCATATTACATTGGTTATTTCGCAAAAAAAATACGACATGGTTATATTCACTGGATAACACAATACATTTTGTGATGAAATAGTTCTTTTTTCAAATTATGAATGTTATGTGATTTAAAAAAGTCTTTCATTCGTGTTCATGTCATATTGAAATTATTAAACGATAATTTCAACAAAGCAGGTTTGTTTTTGTCTAGAATCCAAGTTTTTCACTGTGTACCTTTCCAAACTCATTTTCCGATGGTTCTCCCAATGTTCGTTACAATTCAGCATCACATAACTTAGTAAATTATGAGGTGTTAAACCTACATTGCTGATGTATAGAAAGTGTCTCGCTTTGTTTCAGTGGTGTTATCAAGGTTACTGTGTCGCTAATTCCTCGGCGCCCGTCGTCAGTGGTATGTATGCTACTAATATATGTGTTTTTATGACACAAGTTTTGGGTTGTTTTTGGGTTTTGCTAACGCCAAATAGAAATGTTTTAAATTCTTTGTTATATTTTCATTTGATGCCTTTCTATATCCGTTCTATGAGGAGGTTCAGTCATGAGGGTATAACCGCAACTGCTATTTCTAGCGTATGAATACATAGCCTGAACACTATTGCTACGATTGCATAACTTCACGCTCGGAAAATAGTTCCTAAAAAACGTTATCAAAACATTCCCGGCATTTAAATAAACTCTATTGAAGTATATTCATTTCGCTCATTTCCAACATTATTTATTTTCTTTTAATCAAAAATAAATTTGTTTTAAATATGGTAACTTGATGTTATCTTTCGATTTCGCACGTTACAATGTCAGGTGTTCCTAAGTTATTGTTCTAGTTTTTTTTATCTAGCTTCGGCGATAACGACGGGAAATTTTGAATTGTAAGGAAAAGTATCAATATCAATTGAATATTTTTCATATAAAAAACGAAAATATAAGAAATAAACTGCATAGATGATGCATACCTACTGGTATGACCGCTTCATGAGTCACAAACAACAGAGCACCGCTCAGTTTTTCTGCGACACATGTTGCAGTTACACTAGTAGACCTGTGACATTTATATCGTTTATCGCTATAAATGATCTGCCATGCGTTTTCCTGTTCTCTTTAAATATGATAAGCGCTAATTCGGAAAATATACCTATATGCAGGGGCCCGCGGTGGCCAAGTGGTTAAGGCGTCTGATATTCTGCTATCACTAGCCCTGCATCACGTGGGGCAGTCGTCAGGTACTGGCTGTAGGTCGGTGGTTTTTCTCCGGGAACTCCGGCTTTCCTCGAACACCAAAATCTGACACGACCTTAAATGACCATAGTTGTAAATAGGACGTAAAACACAAACAAACCAAACAAACCTAACTGTATATTTGTGTGGCTACCTCCCTTCCTGAAACATCAGTTATAGCAATATGTCACGAAGTTTTTTAATGTAAATTAGTCGGGGGTTTTATTTTCAAACGTGTCACAAATGTTGGTGTACATTTCAAATAGGTGTGTCATCAATGAAACCAATATTACGATTCATTACTTCTCCTCGTAACTCGTTTGGAAAAGCAGAGGACGTCAACCCTTCCGGAACACCTGGTCTAAATTCTCCTCGTAACATTGTTTGAAAAGAAATGAAAAACAGTGATTAAATCTTTAAATCTCGATGTTCTCGATGTGAGGACGTGACATAACGTGGATTCAACTTACAAATTACATGGCGGGTGTCTTCAACTTGCAAATTACATGGCGGGTGTCTTCGATGAAGCAGACGATGTCTTCCCTTCCGGAACACCTGGTCTAGATTGTCCTTGTACTTTTTCAAGAGTCTACCTGGGAATCTTTCTTTTGTTCATGTTTTGCCCTAGTTTTATCGATTTTGAGGTCAAAATGTGGTTTTATTGCCACTTCGGTATTCTCTTAGATGATGTCTTGGTTGATAATACCCCTATTGTATCATGTATTAGCCTGGCTATATAAATCGTGATCTTATAAAGGCTAATACAGCAAATAACTCTCATGGACTGAAAAGTACTCTGAATTTTTAAAAATAAGCCTCGATCTATGACGATTAGTGATAACTACTGGTATCTCACATCTGCAAAATTCCGCTGTCAGGTGTGCGCTGCAAACGATTGATTTTGTAACAAATAAGAAATTGAAGGTGTCATTTTCTTATTTTTGTCGTAAATAAATGTTTTTAATTAATTATATTTTCTTGTTTCACACGAGTTACTCGACAAGTATAAAAAGATACGAAAATAAGAATACAATTGTATTATTTTCTGTTCTTAAATTTCCAGTAACTAAATGACGTTGAGACTGAATGTAAAAGTTTCATTGTTACTTAACTTAATGAATAAATATTCCTTTAGATGAGTCTCGGCGTATGCTTTTTATTCAGTCATTTTGAACATCTTTCATAAATTCTATCAAACGAGTTTGGAAACTTCTCTCATTTCATCTTTTCATATAATTTCGATCTCACCCTTTAATTTCAGACCTATGTCCCCATGGTGACAGCCCTGTGTTAACACTAGGTTCTGACAACCTTTCGTGTACTACCTTGTTCGAGAGATACAGTAAAGGCAGTATCTGTCCTCAATAAAAATTTAGCTGCTGTGCGACATGTGAGGCTGCTTATACGTCAATACCTGGTAAGTATTGTTACAGTCCCGGCATAGAAATTGTACAAACAAAGTTTGTTAAAAGACTATTGAGAGTAAAGCAATCAACTTCAAACTTGGCTGTTCTGGGTGAATTAGGGAGACATCCCATGTGTGTTGTTTATTATAAAAAGTGTATAAAGTATTGGTTTAATATTTTAAGTATGGACTCCTCTAGATATCCACGAAGGTGCTATGATATGTTAGTAAATTTACACAATGCTGGAAGAGTAACTTGGGCTACAAATATTAGAGATCTATTGTACAAATATGGATTTCATTATGTATGGATATATCATGAAGTTGGCGATGTAAATAGTTTTATGAGACTGTTTACCCAAAGAGTAAAAGACACTTGTATGCAAGAATGGGATTTTGGAATAAATAACTCTAATAAACTGAATTTTTACTCGGATGTCAAAACTTTAATTGAACCCGAACGATACTTATATTGTATTACAAATAAGTCTCATAAAATTGCTCTAACCAGGCTGCGTGTATCCAGTCATGAATTATTTATTGAAAAAGGTCGTGAACTAAAAATTCCAAGGGAAGAAAGATTATGTAATTACTGTTTATATACAAACAATACAAGACTCATTGAAGATGAATATCATTTTTTATTACACTGTCCATTATATGAACATATAAGACAAATGTGTGCATTGGAAAACTATGTTGAAGCAAAATATATGTTAATAACTGGAAATGAAGATAAATTAAGAAATGTTGCTAAATTTGTATATTTAGCTTTTGAAGCAAGATCAAATTATATTATATCTGTGACATCACAAATTTAGTATTATTAAATCGGAAGTCAGTGCTATATATTAGTAAATTGTACGTTATAAGGTACTTTGCAGAAATTGTTTTTGATGTAAAAATTGTGTGAATATGGTTATTATGTACTGTGCAAATTGTACTATGGGCTAGTTGGCCTTGAAATACTTAATAAAATATCTTGAACTTGAACTTGAACCTGGTAAGTATCGTACGGAGTTTACCCGGGGTTAGGTGGATGAAGTCGATACCTTTTATGTTTTTTATGACGTCATTTCCGGGGGTGCGACGTTTACCTCATGTTCTCTTGATGTCATCGAGTTTTCCATTGGTGAAAAAAAACGTAATTTAGCCGGCGGGCTAGTTTTCATGACGTCATCGAATTTTCGGCTTATTGTTAGAGTATGTTATCAAGCAGACGGATTAGTATTATCGTGTTAATATATCAAATTATTTAGATCACTATGTTGCCGTTTTTTGGGGAAAGGACCTGTTACAGGAACAAAAAAAAATTGCCCACAAAGAAACTTAACCATTACTGGGTTATGTTTGTAGCTCCCTAAGACACGACCCATGAGATATTTTTTAAAAATTAAAAAGGTCCCCTAGGCCTGTGCTATGAACTATTTAGTGCCGCCTTCCAAAGGTATACGACAGGGTTCACTTTTTTGTCCAAAAAACTATCAAAACAATGTTTTACGCTACCAAATAATATTATATTATTTAAAATAGGATCTGCTGCAAATTATGAACTCAAATATGTAACAAAACATTGCATAATACATGTAAAAAAGTTGTAAAATCTTAAACTCTAAAAATGTTGATATTTCATACACTTTTTTGCTACATCAATTGTTTTACGGAAGTAAAACACCAATTTCCGGTTCTTGTACACCAAAAATCTTTTAATATTATTTGGTGCATTATGTGAAGATACGATAGTGAAAATTTCAGAAAATTTGAGAACCGGTAAATTTGTCATATAAATGTCAAATTGTAGCAACGTCTATTTCCAAATAAAATCCAACAACCTTATGACCTATAGTCATATTTGATAATTTAACAATACGTCGCACCAATTTATTATCGCAACTGATCAAATTTTCATCAATAAGGTCTGCTGCTCATGATGAGCCCAACTATAAAGCTAGATGTTGCAAAATAAAAAAGTTATGCAGTCTCACACACACCAAAGTTTAGTATGTTATGTACATTTTTAGTTGTTTCGCATCTTTACGGAAGTGATAGACATATTTCCGGTTTTTGTACACCAACATACTTTTGATATTATTTGGCACATTATGCTGACTGACGATAGTAGAAAATTCGAAAAAATCGGTAGCCGTTAAATGTGTCATCTTAAGGATAATATGTTGCATGACCAATGTCAAAATAAATCTTCAGTAACTACAGAACAATGCAATTATTTCATAATTAACCCAAAATCATCAAGGTGGATGATATGGTTTATAGTAGATTCTAACACGATTCGTTTGCAACGCGTGTTTTGATTGGAAACGGACCATGTTCTAATCTGCGATAGAATCATGATCAATCGTGATAAGCTCCTCCCATCGCACTTAAGCCACGCCCCGTTTCTAACCAAAACAATATGGCGTCAAGCTCGCCTCTTAGCGAAATCCCGCTGATAAGGCTAGTAGGCACCAGAACAGAAACGACCGATGAAATGCATTTGTTGAATGAATTAAAAAGTAAAAATAACCCATTCCTTGTTCTTACCTCCATTTATTACTGAAACGTTCGTTCCATCCGTGTGAAGGCATCTATTTAGATCCGAAATCAAATCAACCATATCACATGTGTCGTATGCATTTACACAAAACTCTTCAAAAATCTATTCAAATATTCACCGATTTTGTCGATAAGCACCGATTGGTATGCATACTGACATGGAAATGTAAGAACTTGTTCAATATTAATCCGAATGTGTCGTATAAACTTTGGTAACAGGA